GAGGGCCCCACTGCTCAAAAAAAAAAAAAAGAAAGAAAGAGACAAAACCATTAGTTGCGACAGGATACTTAAGAGGTTGGAGTAGTCGTCGGCTGGGCGCGACCGGTGGCTCGGGACGCCTGCTAATTTCCCAGCACTTTTTTGGGCGAGGCCCAAGGCAGGCCCCAGATCACCTTGAGGTCGGGGTCGCGGAGCTTTTGAGACCAGCGACTGACGCAACATGGGAGAAAATCTCTTACGTAAAAATACATCAAAGTTAGCCAGGGCCTGGCGTGGCACGAGTGGCGTTTTTGAATGCCCGAGGGCGTAACTCAGGGACGACGGAGCAAGGAGACGAAGTCCGCTTGAAGCTCACGGCAGCGCGAGAGGCTGGCAGCTTAGAGCCCGAGAAGCCACGACCATTGCACTTCCAGGCCCTGGCAACGAGGGGCACGGTAGGCTCACGCCGCTTGTGAATCCCAGCACTTAGGAGCCTGAGTTGATGAGCGCTGAAGTCACTGAGGGGGCAAAGGAGTTTAAGACTCCAGCGCGTGGCCCAACATTGGCCAGAAAACCCCCCCTCCCTCGTCTCGTTTTTTACCGAAAATACAAAATATTAGCGTGGGTGTGCGTACTTGTTGCGCCTTATCAATCCCCACGCTAAAAAAGTTAGATAAGCTTTTTTTTTTTTTTTTTTTTAGAGACAGGGGTTCGTTCCTCTGGTTCACCCAGGCTGGAGTGCAGTGTTGGCTGGGAGTTTTGCCGCTCATGCCAGACCTGCTGCGCATCTCCCGGCGTTTTAAAGCCGATTTGTTCTGCCCCTTAGGGGCCTCGCCCGGAGCGACTGGGATGTACGGCCCGCCTGCACCAGACCCAGCGGTGTAGTACGTTGTTGGTGATTTTGTGCGCAGGGGGACGGGGATTTGCGTCATGGTTGGCCAGGCTTGGGTCTTGGGAACTTCATGACCTCAAGTGATCGCTCCCACCGTCGTGCGTCCACAAAATGCTGGGATTGATGAGGCAGTGAGCCACCGCACACCCAGCCTCGCAGGTTGATCTAATGCTTAATAGGGTTGTACCAGGATGGTGACCGAGGTTGACAGTGCATGTTTTTTTTCTCGACGCCTGTTTAGTCCCAGCGAGGTTTCTTGTTAGGCTCAAGACAGGCCCAGATTGCCTCTTTAGTGCAGTAGCTCAAGGACCAGCGCTGGCAAACATGTTGAAGGACCGCTGGCTCTCTTTACAAAGAAAAAAAGAGATTGAGGGACCTGACATAATAAAAGTATAATATGCCCAGAGTGGTGTATTTTTAGCTAGGAGAGAGGTGAGAGTGGGCTGATTGCTCTGAGTCTCAGCTGGGTGTAACGCGCGATTCAGATGTTTTCTGAAAAAGGTTTTGTTTGTGTTGTTGTGAAGTGCGAGTCGAGATGCCTGGAAGTTGTTCAGTCGTTGCGCGGAGTGCCTTGCGTGTCCAGCCTGCTTTTTCGAGCAGTAAGTTGATTTTGTCTTGTTTCGTGTTGTTGTTGTTTTTTTTGTGTTGTTGAGAGCGGAGAGGTCGTTGCTCCGGTGCACCTAGGCGTGGGCGCGGGCGTGGATGAGCTGCGTGCCTAAGCAAGCTGAGGATGCACGGCGCCGTTCCAGAAGTGCGTGTGGTAGCGTGCAGTGATTCCTCCTCGCTCAGCGCGTTCGCGGTGAGCTAAGCACTACAGGGGTGCGTGGTGGAGGCACGCGCGCAGCTAATTTTCAGGAAGTGTTGGGGTGTGTGAGTAGAGAAGAGGGCTTGCGTGCACTCGTGGTTGCGTGGTAGCTGGGCGCCTGCAGAGTGGATGGTTCGCGTGTGCGAGTCGCGCGAGAGAGAGTGTGGTGGCGGATCGTACGAGGCATGAGCCCGCCCCCAGCCATGCCCCATCCAACAGTTGCTGTATTTGTATGGACCGCCTTCCTCCTAAGACAGGTTTTCGTGTTTGCCTTACAGTCTTTTTCTCTGATAGGGTGGAGGTGTGAGAGGTGGGCGTGCGGGGTCGTGGGCGTGAGAGGAATGCTCGTGGAGTGAGTGATGGCGTGGTGCTGGATGAAGAAGTAGGCGGGGGCTGGGCGGGCGCGTGAGCGTGTGAGCTGCGCGGCTGAACTTGTGATGCAATGAGAGTGGAGAGTGAGGTGCGGGGAGTGGTGAAGTGTTGTGTGTGTGTTGCGTGTTATTTCGTGTGTGTGTTTTTTGTTGTGGTTTGTTTTTTTTTGTTTTTGAGAGGCGGAGGTCGGTTGCTTTTGGGCGCCGCGCTGGAGTGCCAGTGGGCACCATCTGCGCGCTCAAGCTGCGAAAGCTGCGTGGCGGGCGCTGGGTGCGGTTCACGCCGATTCTCCGGTGCGTCGAGCGCTGGCGCGGAGTAGCGCGTGGAGGAGCGTAGCAGCGGGGCCGAAGCGCGCCGAGCGGGCGCGGCCGCGGCGCGGAACGTAAGTTTTTTTTTGTTGGTGGTAGGTTCTGTGATGTTAGTGAGGAGACGGGGGGTTGGGTGTAGCGTGGGTGTAGCCCAGGATCGGGTCTGCGGAGCGGGTCTTCGCTGACGCGTCGGCGTGAATCCGCGCGCGCCGTCGCCTGCCGCGAGAGAGTTGCCCGTGGAGTTGTAAGGGAGCGGAGCGCACTGCCACGGCGGGGGGTTGTTCTGGTTTATTTTTGAAAGACAGTCGGGTGTGCGTGCGTTGGGCGCAGTGCGGTTGGCGCGGAGATCCGAGACCGCGTGTGGTTAAGCAATCCCTGGTGCGGGGTGGATGGTGGTGAGATGGGTAGTGTCAGGTTAAATGTTAAAGAATGATGGTGGTAGATTAGGTGAGTTGAACGTGTTGTGTGAGAAGACACTGCCATAAGAGCTATTAGCGAGTTCATTAATTTTTAGTAAAATGGGCATTTTTGTTGCCCGGCGCTTGGCGTTGCTCAGCGCGCTGTGAATTCCCAGCACTTGGAGAGCGGGGCCGCAGTCAAGGCCCAGCGATCATGAGGCTCAGGAGGATCGAGACGCACCCTGGCTAACGGATGGTGAACCCCGTCTCATTACTAAAAGATGAGAAAAGAAAATGTAGCTGGCATGGGTGCAGGCAGCTTTGTGACTGCGGGCTACTCAGGAGCTGAGGCAGGGAGAATGGCGTGGAACCCAGCGAGGGCCAGAGCCTTGAGAGTAGGAGCCGAGGAGTTGCTATCACTGCACTCCAGACTGGCGTGACAGAGCGAGACTCGCGTGCTTCCAAAAGAAAAAAAAAAAAAAAAATACATTTTTGTTTAATCATACCATTTATATACTTTTGGAAAGTGATATGCGTATTTGTTACACGTGTTCAGTCTGTGGTCAGAGCTTAGTACACACATGAATTTGAGGATTCCAGGTTGCTGTGGGAGTCTGCAGATTGAAATTTATTTAGAATTGCTGTTCTAATAGCAGAAAGTAGTTCTATCTATGCTGTATTTCTTCTTTAGTGTACAGGACCTCAGAACTCTTTTTTTGTTTGTTTGTTTTTTGAGACGGAGTCTCGCTTTGTTGCCAGGCTGGAACGCAGTGGCACGATCTCAGCTCACTGCACTCTCTGCCTCCCTGGTTCAAGCAATTCTCCTGCCTCAGCCTCCCGAGTAGCTGGGACTACAGGCGTGCGCCACCACACCCAGCTAATTTTTGTATTTTTAGTAGAGACAGAGTTTCACCATGTTGGCCAGGATGGTCTCAATCTCTTGACCTCATGATCCACTTGCCTTGGCCTCCCAAAGTGCTGGGATTACAGGTGTGAGCCATTGCGCTCGGTCAAAACTCTTAATTTTTACAACTAGTCAAGTTCTCCAATCTGAATTTGGGTGTTCCTGGTGTTCAGCTCATTCTGGATACCCTTAGCTTTCCCAGACACAGTCTTTTATGGTGGCAGTAGTACAGTACTTCAAGAAATGAAAATTTCCTTAAAATTAGTGATTTGGTCCTGTTACAGATTCCACCAGCACCACCAAGACCTGACTTTGATGCTTCAAGGGAAAAACTGCAGAAGCTTGGTGAAGGAGAAGGGTCGATGACGAAGGAGGAATTCACAAAGATGAAACAGGAACTGGAAGCGTATGTGATTTTTTTTTTTTTTCTTTTTGTGGTCATTGTTGCCTTTGTTAATTGTGCTTGCCTTTTTTGGTGTTTTCTGATATCCCATCATTTTAATTGTTTCACCATGGAGACCCTGTCTGGAAGATGCAGGTTTAAGTCACACAACCAGTATTAATGATCATGATCAGAGCCTACAGGAAAATGATAGAATAATTGTCTCCACTGTAAAATTATTTAAATTCATATTTGAAATAGACCCTGAAAGTTGAAAATGGAAGATCAAAAGCTTATTTTAAAAAAGTAAAAGGTCCAGTCTGTCTTTGGACTTAGGGGAAAAAGAAATAGAGAACATGACTTTTTAAAGCAGAATAGACATTTTGTTTTATTTCTATTTACAAAGCTTAGTCACTACCAACCTAGTTCTCTTTTTTCAATGTGGACATATTGCCATAATTCTCAAAAGAGAATGTACTGAGCAACTGCATATATTCTGTTTTCTTAAAAATGCATGTGTATGCAATGCGAATTATCACAATTTTTTCAAGAATCTAATACATTTCTAGTATATATGAAACTAATACAGTCATTTCATGAAAAACGGTTTTTAACTATTCTCTAGTTACTTTGCTTCTGTATTCTTTTCCCTTTGGGCAGAAGCCACAGGCAGAGAAAGGAAGAAAGGGAAATTATGTACAGGTTGAGTATCAGTTACACAGAATGCCTGGGAGTACATTTTGGATTTTAATTTTTGGTTTTTTTTGGACTGTTTCCTTTATACTTACTGATTGAGCATCCCTAATCTGAAATCTGAAATGTTCTGATGAATATTTCCTTTGAGCGTCATGTCTTTGTTTAAAACTTTTCAGATTTTGGAGTATTTTAGATTTCAGATTTTGGGGTATATTTTCAGATTTTCAGCCTATATTTCATTTTTAGTGTATTTGCTAAACATACAGAATCTTTCCCCTTTTATTAAACATTTGGAGTAATTTTGGATTTGCTGGATATGTTTCTCTTTTTTTTTTTTTTTTTTGAGACAGTGTCTTGCTCAGTCGCCCAGGCTGGAGTGCAGTGGCGAGATCTCAGCTCACTACAAGCTCCGCCTCCTGGGTTCACGCCATTCTCCTGCCTCAGCCTCCCGAGTAGCTGGGACTACAGGCGCCCGCCACTACTCCCGGCTAATTTTTTTGTATTTTTAGTAGAGACAGGGTTTCACCATGTTAGCCAGGATGGTCTTGATCTCCTGACCTCGTGATCCGCCCGTCTCGGCCTCCCAAAGTGCTGGGATTACAGGCGTGAGCCACCGCGCCCGGCCTTGGATATGTTTCTCTATTTTGAGAGTTGTACAAGGAAATAATTTTCCTTAGTTATCATCTCTGTCACTTTTTTGGGTCATTTCTCCCCTTCATACATTTCCTCTCCTCTTCTTCCACTAGTTTCAGTTATCAGTTATATATTGACACTGCTACTAGACTCCTCTTCAGGATGCTAAACTCTTAAAAAGATAAATCAGCAAAGCAGGTCTTGGATGCAAGCAGTGGTCTGATAGCAGACAGATATATATTCAAAGTTTATAAGACTGAAAACTGGAAATGAGCAGAGCACATTAATATAGAAGAATCTGTGATTTTCCAGTGGCCCTGATCATGATTCTTTTGTGGTCTGGTTAGGGGTTGGATAACAGAGAACCTTGGGTTTATTCTACTGCTACCTCCATCCTCTGCATCCTTCTTTTTTGTCTTCACTGAATGACTACCCTCACAGAGATCAAACTTCTCCCAACATTGGTCCTGCTGGTTTGCTGGTTTGCTGGTATGTAAAACTTACCCTTCTTGCACGTACTTGAAGCAAGAATATCAGGCCTTTTCCTTGAATGTTTGTTTTTTTTTCCCCCCAAACTGACATGTATTACTTTGTGGTCTCTGAGATTCACTGCTGGTATTAAAATATTTTAAACACATTTCCTTGGTGTAATGGCAAAAAAAATCAGTTTCTTCGTAGTGTGTTTCTTGTGTGTTTAGGTAATTAGATGAAAATAATTATTAACGTTGAAAATATGCTCACTGAGGTTTGGGTTTTAATTTTTTTTGTACTAAGTTGTTTAAAAGCAGTAATTGGATATTGAATCATTAAGATTCTATCAAATAATTTGTAGCATACTTTCTCTAGAGCTGAGAACAAGCAGCCCTATAGTTAACTTTAACATCAACTCTCATAGTAAGAAAAATTTGTAAAACTTAAAATTTTTTTTTTTTTTTTTTTTTTTTTTTTTTTTTTTTTTTTTTTTTTGAGACGGAGGTCTCGCATCTTGCCGCCCAGGCTGGAGTGCAGGTGGCCGGATCTCACTCACTAGCAAGCTCTCCGCCTCCCGGGTTCACGCCATTGCTCCTGCCGTCAGCCTGCCGAGTAGCTGGGCTACAGGCGCCCGCCACCTCGCCCGGCTAGTTTTTTCTGTACTTTTTTAGTAGAGCGGTATTCACCGGTGTTCGGCCAGGAATGGTTCTCGATCTCCTGACCTCGTGATCCGGGCCCGTCTCGGCCTCCCAAGAAGTGCTTGGGATTCGAGCTTGAGCCACCTGCGCCGTCCGGCCAAACTTTGAAAAATATTAACATATAGAGTTATTAATATTATTTAAACTTGGCATGAAATCTTTTTCAAACTGGGGTTTATGTATTTCATTAACAGTTCACACTAAAAAACCCTTTGTTTACGATGAATTAATATACCTTTAGGTAACCTCTATTTTGCATTTTGGAATAATCAAAGGAATATTTTCTGAAAAAAATTGTTGCAGGTGACTTTTTAGTTATGGAGTTTTTTACCTTTATTTTCTGCTATTGTTGTCAGTGAATATTTGGCAATATTCAAGAAGACAGATGCGGATGCATGAAGTGTTCCTGTGTCGTGTGGCGACATCCTTTTTGAGAAAAGACTTAAATTTCCATGTCTCTTGGAATTAATCAAGATGTGAGTAATCAAATTGGAGTTGTGGTCAAGTTTTTTTCTTTCTTTTTTTTTTTTAGACAGTCTTGCTTCTGTAGTCCAGTGATTGCAGTGGCCGGATCTCGCGTCACGGCAAGCTCGGCCTCCAGGGTTTACCGCCATTCTCACGTGGCCGTCAGCCTCCGGAGTAGCTGGGACCACAGGCGCGCCCGCCACATCGCCCGGCTGAGTTTTTTTGTATTTTTAGTAGAGCGGACTGGTTGTCACGTTTGTTAGCCAGGATGTTGTCGTGGATCTCCTGACCTCGTTGATCCGCCCGTCGAGACGGTCTCGCTCGTGTTTCCCAGGGCCCTAGAGTGTAGTGGCATGATCTTGACTCACGCAAGCTCCGCCTTCCAGGTGCAACCCCCCACCATTCTCCACTACTTCAGCCTCCTAGTTAGCTGGGAGTACAGCTTGCCCGACCACTGAACACCCAGCCTAATTTTTTCTTTTTTCTATTTTTAGGATTAGAGATGGGGATTTCCACCGTGCTTAGTCGGGATGGTCTCGATCTCCTGACCTTGTAATCTGCCCGCCTTGGCCTCCCAAAGTGCTGGGATTACAGGCGTGAGCCACTGTGCCTGGCCCACGTTTTGTTTTTAAAGAGTCATTGGAAAAGGCAAGAGTAGTTAGAAAAGGCTCAAGGCCTTTTTTTAGAATGTTTGTATTTTTCTCTTTTTTTTTTTTTTATTGAGACAGAGTCTTGCTCTGTCATCCAGGCTGAAGTGCCGTGGCACAATCTCTGCTCACTGCGACATCCTCCTCCCAGATTCAAGTGAATCTCGTGCCTCAGCTTCCCAAGACTATGCACCTGTAGTCCCAGCTAATTTTTTTTTTTTTTTTTGAGATGGAATTTCGCTCATGTTTCCCAGGCTGGAATGCAATGGTGTAATCTCGGCTTACCAAAGCTTCTGCCTCCTGGGTTCAAGCGATTCTTCTGCCTCAGACTCCCAGGTAGCTGGGATTACAGGAATGCGCCACCATGCCAAGATGATTTTTGTATTTTTAGTAGAGACGGGGTGTTTCTCCAATGTTGGTCAGGCTGGTCTCGACAACTCCCGACTCAAGTGTGATTCACCACACTCAGGCCTCCGGCAAAGTTGCCGGGATTACAGGTGTAAGCCATGGGTCAGGGGCTTATTGTGGTGA